TTCTTTTCAACTTCATTTTCATGCAAAGCTTAAAAAGGTACAAAGGAGAAGTGTTTCTTATAAATTTTTTTTATAGTTTTTTGACTTGGAATAAAGTCTTTCCTTAAGGACTCATTGAGGGTGGTTGTAGGATGTGAGGAAGGATGTCTTTGAAGTTGTTTTAAACTTGTTTTATCATTATGTGTGTGTGTGTGTTCATGGCTGTTGATGAATTAAAAATGGTACCATAAATGTTTCTTTCTTCCTTTGTACATATATTGGAAAGTGTAAAGTGAGTTACTACTCATATTGTGTTTTGCGTATCTTCTTGCCATATATAAGTGTTCCACTTGTGTCACATGACTAGACATTGTGTGTTTATAAAGAGAAAATGGATTAAAAAATGTGTTAATGATATTATGAGGTGTGAACATGCATGTATAACATAATTTACATCGAGTAGAAAATCTCAAGTGTAGCATGTTTTCCACCTTGTATTTACATGAAAAAATCATGAGTATGAAGAGGAGGGAATATGTATTTCATAAATAAATTAGGATATTAAAATAACCTTGAATGTGATTTTTCATGAAGAAAAAATATGTTTTTGGGTTTAAAATGCTCTATACATTTAGCCTTTCTTTAAGGTGGGGAGATGAAAATTTTATTAACTATATAAGTCTATATAAGATGATTTGCTTTTCCATTGGTAAGAATTCAATAGGATTCAATTGATATTATAATTTGATAATTAAATTTAGATTAGGTTAAATGATAATTTAATTTAATTTAATTCATAATCTAGTTCAATTAGGTTATTTAATTGAATTTGGTAATAGTTCAAATTCAGATTACTCTCTTGTGATATTGTGATAATCGAAATTACATGCATTTGTGAGTCTATGGGTTGATAATTCATATTCTATTTTTCATCTAGTTAGTTTTAATTCAATTGATTTGAAATTTGTAAACCCCCAAATTGTTACTCTCATTATTAAATTAAATTAAACTAAATATGTGTCTTTATGAATTGACCTAGGTTGAGCTTTATATCTAAAATTCTTAGAGAAAATTTAGTTATTTTGGTAGCGACTTAGTATCATCTATCATGGACCTATTGCATTGAAGGTATGAGTGATTTATCTCAATGACAAAATATGTATGCTTGAACCTTTGATAGAGAGACCACCTTCCATGGGTAGGTGCTTGATGAGTTTGTGCATCCTAACTTTATGGTGCAAGAAGTAATGATAAGGTCATATTATCCATTCAAGTGAATGCTAATCTACCAAGAAGACTCTTGTGTGTTTCACCAAACTCTTTACTCTTGACCACCTTTGAGTTCCTCATTAGGACTACTCTCATTGCTATACCTACACTAACATGTGACCATGATATCATCTCTGTCTGATCGTGTCTTGAAACCAGAGCATGCAATGAAGGACATATCTATGGTGAAGTTTTTAGTGTGCCTACAGCCTCCTTCCTTTTTTGCTTATGTTGTTGTTGCTGACGAGATTGACCTTTCAAAGAGGACCTTGCTTAATAGGGGTATACCTAGAGTACCATCATTATGCTTCTCCTATTTACGTACACAGTGCCCTTCAGTTGGAGGATAAAGGAGGATGATGATGACAATGTTAAAGAGGACCTAGAAGAGGATATGAAGAAAGATAAGGAGAACAACGAGAAATGCTTACTTTTAATGTAGATATTTTGGTAGATAGTACATAGGATGCAACCCTTATATATATGTAATTTGTATAAATAATGTAATTTTGACGGATGTATATTAATTGTATCATATGTATTATTTACGTACTTTTTTAAGAAAGGTATATTTTCATATTTGTTTGACATGCTTTTATATTTATTTTGGAAGACTTGTATTAAATTCAATGGCAATAAATTTTATATGACGTTTAATTTTATAAATGTACTATTCCATTATCTTATAGATGTTTATGCTTATGCTTTTATTTTCATGATGTAAGGAAATTTTTTTATTAATAATTTTAAATATAAAGAGAGAGAAAAATTATTTACAAGCAAATTTACACAACAATATTCAAACATAACAATAATAATAAAGGATAGAGACAAATTAGTTAACACAATATCTTATTTATTTATTTATTTTTACCGCTCTTTGTATTATTGTTGTGTTTACTACATAGCATGAGATTTAATTTTTTCTTTTTTTCTTTCTATTATTGGATCATAAAAGGTTAAAAGAATTTTACCCACAAAATCTAAAACACACATGCCTCTTTTTATAAAGTCCATTATTCATCCTTAGTCCCATTTTTTTATTTTCTATTTTATTAATCCTAAAAAAAATTAAAAAAAAAGTAACAATAACATAACGAAAACAATGGTGTCTTTGTTCAAAAAATTTTCAAATCAAGATCATGTTTTAGAGACAAGGGAGTTAGACATAATGTTTTGCACTTGATTGAACACATGTGCTTATCAAGAATTTAATATCAATGTAATATATTCACTAAATTTACAGACAAATTAATAAAATAAGAAAAAAGTAAAAAAAAATTATTATTTGAATTAGCAAAATTAAAAACTGAAAACTTCACTTTTGCTTCTTTGTGTTTCTTTGGATTCTTTGTACTTTGTTCTCTAAATTTAGCAGCTTTTTTATATATATAAATTAAAAAAATTATTATTCTCTAAATGTCTTGAAAAAAATTACATAAATATCCTAAAAGTATATTATAGCAGAAGTCTATTTAAATCGACTTCTATTATAGGTTTAATTTTTTTTTATATAGAAGTCGATTTAAATCAACTTTTATTCTGCTTTTAAAATTTTTTATATAGAAGTCGATTTAAATAAACTTTCATTCCGCTTTTGAAATTTTTTTTTACATAAAAGTCGATTTAAATTGACTTTCATTCTATTTTTAATTTTTTTATATAAAAATTAATTTAATTTAACTTTCATTCTTGTTTCAAAATTTGTTTGCACATGAGTTAATTTATATTAACTTTCACTCATACATGAATATCTTCTAGAAAGAAGTCGATTATAGTCAACTTTGTAATGCATAAGTAAAGTCGATTAGAAAGAAATCTATTATAAATAAATAAAAATTTGCTATTTGAAGTTGAAATTTTTTTGAAATTGAGTGTAAAAATTAGAGTGAGATAATAACATTCATTAGCAATCGTTTTGCACCTCTGTTCTTAAACCTTATAGCAAATTTTGACACAATGATACAATGTGCTGCACACAATATGCATGATATGCTGAAGGGATGTCACTAATTCCTTGTAGCTTCTAAAGCTAATTTGATTGCATGATAACTATTGGATATCACAAAAACTGTGACATGTTAACGGACATTTCTATTAAACTTGTTTCATATAGAGAATGAAATTTATTTAAGTCAACTTCAATTATGCATTACAAAGTTGATTATAATCGACTTATTTTTAAAACATATTTACATGTAAGTGAAAGTTAATTTAAATTGATTCTGTGAAAACAAATTTTGAAACAAGAATGAAAGTTAAATTAAATTAATTTTTATATAAAAATTTTTAAAATAGAATGAAAGACAATTTAAATCAACTTCTGTATAAAATTTTTTTAAAAGCAGAATGAAAAATTGACTTCTGTGTAAAAAATTTCAAAAACAGAATGGAAGTCGATTTAAATCAACTTCTGTGTAAAAAAATTTCAAAAGCAGAATGAAAGTCGATTAAAATCGACTTCTGTATAAATTTTTTTAAAAGCATAATGAAAGATGATTTAAATCGACTTCTATATAAAAAAAATTAAACCTATAATAGAAGTCAATTTAAATCGATTTATGTAAACAATTTTAAAATAAAAACGAAAGTCGATTTAAATCGACTTCTGTTATAATATATTTTTAGGACATTTACATAAATTTTTTCTTTTTAGAACATTTAAGGAATACTAATTTTTTTAATTTATTTATGTAAAAAAGCCAAATTTAACTTTCCTTTTGAGTTTTTGATTGTGTAATTCTCTCTCTATATCTCTATATATCTATCTATTATTGACTTTGCCCAAATATATGTGATTAAGCATGTGTTTTCTCATAATATAAGAATTTTTGTTTGGTGAAAACATATTTTTTAAGAACTTATACATTTCTTTTATTCCTTCTTCCCATATTTTTGTGTGTGAGATTTTCTAAGTTAATCTTATTTTCTAAATCCCTAATTTTCTTATATTTCAATAATTTCTTGATTTGGTACACTAATTTCTATTTGTTAGGGACCTATCAAACTCTCTGTTTCTCGAAATGAAAAAAAATCCACTATATTTGTTTATACCTTTTTTTAAAAAATTATTTTTTATTTTCTTTTAATTTTAATTTTTTTTCATGTTTATATAATTTATAAAATTTTCTCTCCTTTATATTATTATTTTAGTTTCTTTTACTTTATATTTTTATTATTTAATATAAAAATATTAAAACAACAAAGACTTGTAATAAAATTGAACATTCACAAAGTGGTATCAATCTAAAGATTTCACAAAATAGTCTTGTAAAAAAAATTCCTATGAATATTTTAATTATATGTGAATAAAGAGTTACACCATGATGCATTCTAAGCATGCATGTTCAACCTAGTTAGGAGAATAAGTATTGCATGACCTAACCTGATTGCTAATTCGAGTCATTTTCAGTTAGAATTGAAATAATAACTTTTAAAAATAAAATTCTTTTTAAAAAATCTCAGTCAAAATCAACAATCTTAAATCAAATTCTTTTCTTTCTTATAATTTTTAGTAATTAAATATAATATAACTATAATGGTGAGTTATGTCTTTTTTGTTTTCAAATTTTACGAGTATGTAATCTGGTTTTTTTTTAATAGAGTATGTAGTCTTCTTAATATCTTAAACAAGGAGAGAAAAAAATGTCTAATAAAAACATAATATATATATATATTTTTAAAACTCTTTTCAAAAATCAATTTGACCAAGAGAATGAAAGAAAAATAATTAGTTTGACCTAAAGGTTTTAGATTCAGTTAGTTGCTTCCTCGGAATCTATGCTCGTTGTGATTGTATGTATAATACAAACAAGAAAGAAAATCGTTGTGATGTGAATTAGGTTTCAACAAAAAGGAAGGAAATAAAGCGATGAAGAAGGGCGATAAGGGTCGGACTCGGACCTTCCCGGTGGATCCGAATGTGCCCCGATGGGTTTGTCAGAACTGCCGCAATCCTCTTTGCATCGTCGGCGTCGATCCCTACGCCGACAAATTCTTCAACGACCCTTCTCGCTCCGGTCGGTTAGGGTTTTCTTCCCTTCCCCTCTTATTATTTCTTAATTTAATTGGCACATGTTGTTGATTAGGGTGGTTTTCTGTTTAATATTTATATGCTTATGTTGAATAGTTCTAGAGGAATTATTGTATTGGTTTTAAGTGTAATTGTTCGAAGAAGAATAGTTGCGGTGGTTTAGTTTTTTATGAAGATGCAATGGATGAGTGTAGGGATGCAAGGGTCATCCATTCATGGTGCCAGCAGTGTGCTGAGTACGACTAAGATGGACAATTCGTATGTTGTGTTGCCGAAGCAACGGCCTCAGGCTCAGGGAAATCCTGCTCGGCCGCGTGGTGATGCTGCGCAGCCTGGAAAGGCAATGGAAGAGTCGTTTGTGGTTGTTTACAAGTCTGAATCTCAATCTGATGGCAGTGGAGCTCACTCGTCGGCAACGGGGGCTGATTCTGGTGACCATTTGCCACCTCATAACTCTGGGTTTAATGCAACTATCACTGTCCTGACGCGAGCATTTGAGATTGCCACGACTCAGACACAGGTTTGTGTGTGGGAACATGTAATTTGTTTGATTGGTTTTGAGGCAATTGGATTGTAGTCTGCCTGATTTTAATATCTGGTTACAGGTTGAACAGCCTTTATGCCTTGACTGCATGCGGATTTTGTCAGATAAGCTTGATAAAGAGGTTGAAGATGTAAACAGGGACATTGAAGCATATGAGGCCTGTCTTAAACGTTTGGAGGGGGAGACTGGAGATGTCCTCAGTGAGGCTGATTTTCTTAAAGAGAAACTGAAGGTGCTCATCAGGTTTACTATCTCCAATCTGTATATAAATTTACTATTTATATAGGATTTAAACCACTAGTCCTGAAAACTGTGGGGGAAAAATCAGAGAGTATTCATTACTGTCTTTAACTATTTTTTGAATCTATAGCTGGTATATGTTTAAGGCTATATTAGTTTTTTCTCAAATATAGGTAGGTGGGTCAGAATGAAACAGAAGATAACGTGGATTTTGTTCTATGTTTGGTGCAATTGAAAGATAGAGCAGAACTGGACATAAGGTTTAAAAGGAACATTTCAATTCCTTGAGATGGAACTGAGGATAGATGGATAATAGGACAGAATGGTCCTTTCCATATTTTTTTTCACATTATATGCTCAGTATTATTTGAACAGTCATTCCAATTCATAAGCATTTCAAATTTATTTTCCTTGGCTGCAAGGAGAAGGGTGACATTGCACCATTGTTAATGTACTGTGAACTGTTAGGCATAATATTTACATGTTTTATGCAATATTTCCATTTGGTTAAACCTTCCAAATCTACCAAGAGCCTTGGGTGATTTATTTGGCATCTAAACTTCTGTGGAGTTGTTCCAAGATCAGTTCCATATCTGTGAGAAATATATGTTGCCCTTTTTAAACTTGAAGTTGGAAAACAGATTAGTTCACAATCACAACTGTTTCAAATTTCAAAATTATACTTTTCATGCTTTGCGGTGGTAATATGGAAATTTGATTGGAAATGTCGTAGTCCTTAGTAAAAATGGTCTGATTGACATGATATTGTTGAGTGTATCATTAAATTTTCTTCCAAAGCATAATCTATGATTTACTTCATGCAATGCTATTCAAGATTGAGGAAGAAGAACGAAGACTTGAAGCAGCAATTGAAGAAACAGAGAGACAGAATGCTGAAGTAAATGCTGAACTGAGGGAACTAGAGTTAAAAGCAAGCCGCTTTAAAGAATTGGAGGAGCGGTATATTTTTCTCTGTATCTTAACCATATGATATTTCTTGATAAAAAAATGCCATGACTAATAAAACAAAATTTCTATGAATAAGGACAGATCTTTAATATTTTCTTATATGGTTTGTGTGAATGCTTGATGTCAATGATTGATTTTATGTATCTGAATATGTAACAGGTATTGGCATGAGTTCAACAATTTTCAGTTTCAATTAATTTCTCATCAGGTAGGTAATTGCCTAGCCCCCACCTCCCATACCATCTTGTCTGGGAAAATTTATTCTACTCAAGTTTTATGTTTCTCTCTGTCTTAAGCTAGTTTGGGTGAATTCTAGAGGGTCATTGGATCAAATGACAAACACTGCTTCATCATTTTTTACTATTGTGCCTCTACTTCAACAGGCTCTTTTATGTTGAAAGTCACTGATAACATGGAGCGAATAAAACTGATTATTTATACTGTCATCAGATGATCATACTTTATGAATGAAAATTTCCTTTTGACCAGACACTCTTATCTTATGTTAGTGTGGGATTCTGTTATGGCCCACATTGAGAAGCCAAAAATTAAGCATATGTACCGAAGGAGGAAGGGTTTGATGCACCCTATCATGCACAAGGTGAGAGAAGGGGAAACCAACTGCCTCGGTGGCAGTGGTGACATGGGATAACACTAGTGAAGTGGTTGAGAGGGTATGTAGGGACTATTAGGAAGAGAGAATGCTGGGAGGGGAGGAGGCAAAATTTGGGTTAGACTCTGGACTAGGGAGAGACTGTGCACTATATTGAATTGCTTGTATTTTTCTTTCTTTCTTTCACTACCATACTTGTCACTACTGTCTAAGCTGTGTGACAGTGTGAGTAGTTGATTTGACTCTCGTACTCTTCAATACAGATTTTTCTCTTTTCTTATATCTAATTCCCTGATGGTTATCTGATTTGTTTATTTTCATGCTCTTGTAAAAGAAGTTTAATCAAGTTGCAGCAAATTTTGCATTTTTTTTTAAAATATAACTTCCAAGCCTGAGCATTTAGCCAAAATGCTTCAATTAACAGGAGGAGAGAGATGCAATTTTGGCCAAGATTGAAGTTTCACAAGCACATTTAGAATTGTTGAAGCGAACAAATGTGCTAAATGATGCCTTCCCCATTTCTCATGATGGAGAGTTTGGAACAATTAACAATTTTCGACTTGGAAGACTCCCTAAAATTCCAGTAAGACACCTAGCATGTTGTATTGCTGGTTTTTAATGTTGTTTCAATGTGTTATTAAGCTTAATATGCATGGTTGTGTTTCTTCTTTTGTAGCTTATGCCTTTAAAATAATTGGTAAGCTTAATTGGGCCCAATTTGGATAAACTTATCAATATATACTTATAGGAGTAAAAAAAATAAGTTGTAAAATGAATCAAACTTCCCATAATTTAAAATAACTCATGTTTCTCTATTTTGTTTCTCCCAATGGAGAGAGAGGATTGACATGATTCTCATCACGATCGATTTCGGTGAGAAATTTTGCAGGAATCATTGGGTTCACCACAAAGTGATACAAGCGATGACCATGAATCATGCCTTCAACTTGTTGCCATTGGAGGAAATGGGATTCATTGAATTTGATGGATAGTTGAAGTGAGAATGTGATTGGGGTGGAAGCAGGAGTTTGTACTTCAGCCGTGAATCTTGGATTTAACAGCTCAAGATACCATATTAAGAATTTGAGATGAGACTTGGGGAAAGAGGCAGCTGAATTTGAAATTTTTATTGAAGTATTAAAACATACAAAACAATTGATGTTATAATGTTTATAGAGCTTAATAGCTAGCAATGATTGATACTGACAACTCCAGTTAGTTACAGTTCTATTTGAACTGGAGTTTTGTATTATTTCACACTATTCACTCAAAGGATAACAATTATATATATACACTAAACAGCCTAGATACTATCCTAGCAGTTATAAACTAACTAATAATGTGATAACTTTACAATCTTATAAAATAACTATTAATATAATCAACAGTTACAGTTAGATACCACAGAAAACTGAACTTACAACAGAAAGGCTAGTTTGCTAGTACACTAAATATTAGCCGCATGTGTCTTTTACTAATTTGGTGCAAATTTTCTTAATCTTGAATCCATTTTTCTATCAAGTTTGAATATTTTATTTTTTATTATGATGTTTACTACTATTATGAAATGTTTAGGTTGAATGGGATGAGATAAATGCTGCCTGGGGCCAAGCTTGTCTTCTCCTTCATACTATGTGCCAGTATTTCCGACCTAAGTTTCAGTATCCTTTGCCATTAACCATGTAGGATGAATATAATTACTATTATTAATTTAGTATAACTTCTCTTTTATGTTTCCATATTTTTTGCTGATCACATTTAATTAGAAAGGATTCTTGTCTTCTATGTGATATTTTTATTACTTTGTATGTTATGGTACAAGATGGTTTCTAGTTGAATAAAAATTTTAGAACAAGCTGAAACTTGCAGATCCTATATGCTTTTGTGTTTCATATTATTTTCACTTTACATTTTTCAATAATTTATTGAGAATGATTTGTAACACATCCTGAACTTACTTTTAGATATCGATTAAAGATAATTCCTATGGGTAGCTACCCTCGTGTCACAGACACAAACAACAGTACCTATGAGCTGTAAGTATGCCTCACGGTGCTATTTAGTTGTTTGTGTCTTTGTGGTTTTTGATCTTAGTAGTAATATATAATAGGTGTAATTTAGCTTGTCCCTAAAATTTGTGATTTTTTCATTCCCTCATCTTTAATTTTTGCCCCAAACAAGTCCTTCATAATATATGTTTCTTTACCAAATGGCCCCCTTGTGATTTATGTTTCCTATTTGATCCCTTATATGTTCTTAAATTTTTCATTTGGCCCCTCTAAATATTCCCAGTTTCTAATTTGATCTTCCTAAATATCATGAATTTTTCATTTTGTTGTCCTAAAATTAGGGACTAAACAAAGAAACACGTGATATTTTGAGGGACTAAAAGGAAAGAACAGAAGTAATCATTTTGTAATGAAGAACTTATTATGGAGGACTCAATCAGAAAATAAAAAATAGAGTATAGTTGGTGTGAATTATATTAATGTAAAATGTTGTGAATGAATTAATTTAATGAGCTTTCTGTATTTAGATTTGTTATTATACTTGTCTAATGAGTAGTCATTATTAATGGATGCTGGGGTTTTGCAGGTTTGGTCCGGTCAACTTGTTCTGGAGTACTCGCTATGACAAAGCAATGACACTGTTTTTAGCATGCCTCAAAGATTTTGCAGAATTCGCAAATTCTAAGGATCAAGAGAACAACATACCGCCTGAGAAATGTTTCAAACTGCCTTATAAGTAAGTATTACTGCATATAATATACACTCATTTAAGGCAGTGCTTTTTATCTTTGGGTTCTGTGTGAGTATTTACTTGCATTGGATAAAATAGAAACTTTGTTTTGGTGCCATGATGTCTGAGTCTTCTGGAGTTAAGCTGATTGTGTCCTTTGTCTGTTCGATGGAGATGGAGGAGAGGAAAAGATGATGGCTTTATGCATTTTTACCTCTGAGCTTGTCTTTGAGAGAGTGCTCTAACTCTGGGTCATGACTTAAGATCTTGATAAGGTGCACTTAGTTATGGTTTATTGGAATTTATGGTGCATTTGAACTTAATGCACGAGATTCACAATCCTCCCATTCCTCTCTAGGGAGGAAACAACAAAGAAATAATAATGAAGCCTGCTACGTGTCTTTTATTTGTTCTGGTGCACATGCAGGCTAGACTCCCAACCTTGCCACACCCACTATCTTTCTCAAACATCAAAATAACAAATGGCATGAAGCATGGTGAACCAAGCTTTGCTATACTTGATTTTGAATTAAATTAGTGTGTATATATATATATATATATATATATATATATATACTTGAATTAGTTTGTTAGAATATGTAGAAAAAATATCTCATAATATTGTTATTGTAACAACACAATATCCAAGCCTTTTTCCATTTCATAGTCATGGTTGTCAAATCCTCGAGTCAAATTGTAAACTTGTCCGAGTTTACAATCCTAGGTTGCAAATGGAGCTGACTCCCATGGAAACTCGGCTCTCATTAAACATGGCTAGACTTGGTTGAACTTGCACAAACTCGATCGAACTGGCAAATCCAAGCCTGAGTTGGTGAGTTATTTACCCTACTGAAAAGGCCCCCAAAAAGGCCAAAATATCATTGTTTGGGTAGGGCTTCATTTTATTTCCTTCTTCTCAATTGCTTTACAAAACCAAGCTGCCTCCAATGGATGAAACTGGTGCCTCTCATACTTTACCTAAATGCAACTAAACTGGTGCCTCTCACAGTCTTGCATTTGACCCTATTGCTATACTGCCTCATGCACTCAACGACTGAACTACTGCACAAAGATGCAGCTGCTGTGTAAATCTACTGTGGAACTGCAACCAGCAAGCTGTGACCTATTGGACATCTAATTTGACCTATGCTTTGGGTATTCAAACTGTAACAGAGGTACCTGATAAAAACTCAATTAACTGAATCAAATACAATACCAAATAAAGAGCCAGAACTGGACTAAAAAAATCAAGACTCAACAGTATTTGCAAAATACACCAGACCAAAAGCTCTGAAACCACAAGCAATCACAGCAAGGTCCCGTCATGCCCTATTTCTTTTGTTTCTTGGCATTCTTTAGGACTTCTATCTCTAGTTTCTCAATTTTTTCACCCCTATTTATCAACCTCATAGATGCGGTTGAGTTGATTGCATCCCAGATGTAGTTCGACCTTGTCTCCATCCCATATTTGTTTTCCAAGATTTTTATAGGTCTCCTTAAGATATTTTTGTTGTTTGAAGCTTCCATATGTTGTTCTTGATGAATATATAGGGTTTTTGTTCTTGCTATGTAGAATTGTGATGAAACACCAGGAATAAGATCTGGGTAAAAAGTATTATTAAGAAATGGATAAGAGAGCCTAAGCCCTTACAGTGACAGACCATAGCAGAGCTCCTCAGAGAAAATAATATTTCTCTGTCTAAGCACAATCCCAAGACTAACTACTCGCCCCCACACAATCCCACTAACCCTGTAATTGCGCTGCATGGCCTAACAAACTTGCCGACTCAGTAGTACAACTAATTCTCTCCCCCTGTGCCCTTCTTTCCCCTACGAGAATAAACCTTCCTCATCTGGTCCAGTGCTCAATCAGATTGCTTGCTAGGAAATTGTTTGAAGCTTCCAAATATTGTTCTTGATGAATATAAAGAGTTTTAGTTCTTGCTATGTAGGATTGCTTGCTAGGAAATTGTTTGAAGCTTCCAAATGTTGTTCTTGATGGATATAGACTTTTGGCTCTTGCTATGTAGGATTACTTGCAAGGCAATTTTGCCAAGCTCTTTTACAGCAAGTTTCTCCTTTGTTCATGCACGGGTCCACCCAGCCGCCTTGCGCATTTTCTTTGTTGCCATGTGTTGTGGAGTCCATTTTATGTTGTGTTAGTTTGATCTTAAAACTCAGTAAGATTTTACATAGGTATGATATCAATTTTTTTTTTTAAACTGTATCTTAGATGATCTCTTAGAGCTGTTTTCAGATTTCATATTTTAATATATTTTCCAAATTGTTTCCTTATTTGATTTGATTAAGATTAGGAGTCTATTAACTGTATAATAAATAAAGGTTAGTACTTAGTATTTTATATCACACCATTATGCTGAAGAGATTATTATTGTTAAAAGTATCCCTTCTTTCTTTTTCACCTTCTCTACCTAAATCCTAAATGATAAATATAAAACCTTATCCTATTAGTTAAAGTTCAGTTACATGGATTATAAGAAGTGACTAGACTTGGTCAAAAATAAATTTTAGAGATATTATTTGGAGTTCAAAGGTGGCTGTTAAAGAAAAGAAATCTTTGAATGGGTACGTAGTTCCTTTCATTTACAAAACTATATTATGCTTTCATGAACTTTTTATTATTATGGATTTAGTTGAACTGTTTATTATACCCTTTTCTATATGATCTTTATCGTATTAAGTGTTGCTAAATATATCAAGGTAGCAGTTGAGAATGACAAATATTTTGGGCTGATTTTTAGGATTGAAAATGACAGAGTGGAAAACTATTCCATCACTCAGAGCTTCAATAAGCAGGAAAGTTGGACAAAAGCTCTCAAGTACACTCTTTGCAATTTGAAATGGGCTCTTTATTGGTTTGTTGGAAATACGAACTTCCAGCCTCTTTCAGCTATGGTATCTTCACATGCTGAAGTGCAGCCAGTAGGGTCTTTGTACCCGAAGCGTGCTACTGAAGCCAAGTCTGAATCTCGAAACTAAACATAATAAACGTTTCCTAGGATTTAGTTTACATACAAATGTGTACATGAAACTACGTAGTCCTTAGATGCCCATACAAATGTTTGTATCACAATTCTTGTTAGTATTATTCAATACTTAATCTACGTGCTATTATTCTCGAAGTTACAACTAGATTTGATACTTTAATAATCTCTTTGATTTTGTTCTTTTGATTCTAATTGTTCGAATTTACTTAAATTAAGACATTCTAAAATTTGTCTAGAAATTAACTAACGTAACGAGAGAATTAAATGAAAGCATAATGTAACATTGATTTATATAAATTAGCAAAAGAAAAAAAATACATGAAATATTTAAATAAGAATAAAAAGCAAAATGGCTTCCATTATATTTTATGCTATGTTTTATTTTTTATTATTTAAACATTTAAATTATGGGATAAAATGTGGGTGAGATTTAATTTTAACATTCATAAATTATGTGGATTATCTGAATAATAAAAATTAGAGACATTAAAAATACATAAGCTAAATTATGATAGACTGATTAAGTGTAATATCATAGGTGTTTTTAGTGTTGATTTGGTTGAATTTTTACCTTAATAATGCTTGATAATTTTTAATGTAAATTTTTATTATGTAGAATGTCAAAGTGAAACTTTATTTTTAATTGGAGAATAACATAAATAATACATGGTTTTGTGTAATTATGAATCCAAAAACATAATTATGTTCTTATTAAATGATTTTGGAAGTGTTACTCTAGGTTAGTTTTCTTCAAAATGCAGCATTTGTTGTGTATAAAGTATATTGAAAATCTGCATTTTATGGAAAGGTTTATAAATCTAAATGTTTATAAAATAATTAAAAAATAAATAAAAGCAGACCCTTAGAAACCTTTGTCCAAATTATACATACCAGATGTTAGTGCCAAAAAAAAAAAGAAGAAAAAAGGCCAAGATAGATTTAACTGTTGACAAATAAATATAATTAGATAAACTCATTTAAGGATTTTTTTGGAATTAATTTGATTATATTATAATATTTTTAAATGCATGAAATACTATTAAATTGAATCCTACCATACCATATAAACAATTTTAATTCATGCTTAATTTATTAAGATTGAGTGTTACATCATTCACGTATGACTAGTGAATTTTATATATATTATGTTAAACTAAACATGAGTTAAGTAATTCTTTTTGTTAATATTTATATTTAAATTTGTAGTTATTCATATAAAGAATATATATTTAAAATTTGAATAAAAAATAACTTTTTTTTTATTGAAAAGAGTATTGTGCCACTTTAAGATCCTTAATTAGATGAGTCTGGAGCTTTGATCTTATAAGACCATCCTTACTCCTACTTTTTTTTACTTTTGCATTTTTCTTTTTTATTTTTTTAAAATTCTTAAATTTAAAATTTGGGTATGGTTTATGTGCTTCCAATGTTAGATCAGTTTCGTAAGTCATTTTAATTTAGATTCAAGGACACAATGAGGATTTCATAAACATAGAAGATATTGATAATAAGAATCTTAATATTGATTTTTGTCATTGTTTTGAAAATTTGATTGGACCAGTCGAGTCCGTTTAATTTTAAAAAAAATCTGGTGATCTCAATTTTTATTTTATTTGTTATTATTATTATATAAATTAATAAAATACTTTTTATGATTTTATTTTAAAAATTACTGTTTATTCAATAAAATAAATAAGGGAGATATTAATTAATATAATAGATAAAAGATATAATAAAAAATCAATAATATTTTTTATAAAATTTTAAACATTAATTATTTTCTTGATTCTTGTATAAAATCTTAAATAAAAACTAGAAGAAGTGTATTAAATAATATTTATATTATCAATATAATATTTAATTTTGTAAAACATTATATTTTTATTTTTTAAATTGATTGTGTTAAAAACATTTACGATCATTCTGTAAAAAAGTAAAAAAAAATATATAGTTATTTGTGTAAGATTATCTTACTAAGAAATATAGTTATAGTTAGACATTAAATATAAACGTCTCTTTGAGGAGGTAGAATCATATTTTAAAAATTTTAAATTTGATCATCTATATATATATATATATATATATATATATATATATATAATTGACTACACCTACTTATTATTAAGTGTATTAAATTTTAAAATGTAATTTTATCTATTTATTATTCTATACCTTAAAATTCAGAATGTATTAAATTATTCGCATTGACTCCACTTACTTATTACTCTGTGTAAAAAAATTCAAAACGTATAACTTATGAATTAAAATTATATTTTATAACACTTATTATGTTTTAATTATATTTAAAGAATATTTATTAATATTAATGATTATATTATGTTACAAACGGTAACATAAATATTTATACTATAAATTAGCTTAAATTATCATTATTAAAATTAATTATAATATTTTTCATAATTTACGAATTAAAATTATTATTTTATTTTAATATAATCTATATTTTATTATGTACTTCAAACACTAAAATATATTTTAAATTAAAAAAATTAAATTTACAAAATTATTAGTTTATAGTATATATTGTTAAATTAAATTTATAATAAAAGACAAATTTATATATTTAAATTATTTTATTAATTCATTAAAATAATCTACATTTCAATATGTACTTCAAATATTAAAATGTAATTTGAATAAAAAATACACATTTAGAAAATTATTTGTTTATATTATATATTGTTAAATTAAATTTCTAAAGAAAATACAATTCTACATGTTTAAATTATTTTATTAAATATTTTAATATAATCCATATTTTTAATATTTACTAACAATACTAAATTGTAATTTAGTTTAAAAATACTACATTTATTAAATTATTAGCTTATAATATATATTGTTAAAATAAATATCAAATGAAAAGACAAGTTTACAAATTTAAATTATTTTATTAATTATTTTAATAAATATATAGTTTAATATATTTTTCAAAAACTAAAACTTACTTTAAAATTAAATAAATTATACTTACCTAATTATTAGTTTATATTATATATTGTTAAGATCAAATAAAATAATTTAAAATTACTTTCATAATTTGCATAATTTGCTTATTATTTTTTAATTGTATTTAAGAAAAATTTATTAGAATTGATAATTATATAATGTTAAAAATATCAATAAAAAAGTTACTGTAAATAATATTTAATAAAAAAATTATAATTTATTATAAATAATTTAAATAAATTTTAAAATTTTCTATGTTAAATATTGAAAATAGAAAAAACAATATTGATTAAATTGTACAAAAATACTTTTAAAAAAAATTTCATGAAGTTCTCGATTTATCTTTTAATTATAAATAAAAATGTATCTTTGTTTTTAACTTCTATTTAACATTTCAATGTTAATTATTGTTTTATATTATATATTATTAAATTAAATTTCCAATGAAAAGATAAGTAAACTATCATACAAATAAAAAGATAACTTTTATTATATTAATTTTTTATTTTCTGACTTTTCATATATCACTGAGTAGGACTTCATCTCTACTTATATAAGTCATGTTTACACAAATTTTAAAAACTTGCTCATGGTTCTTTCTATTATCATCCTTTTTCTTTATATTTTGTAATCATGTCAGCTGTCAATAATTACCTACCCATGTAAGTACGTACATTTTTGAGTTTGATATTTTTTATTTTATTTCACTAAATTGTGTTATATATTTAAATTTAATTTTTTAAGTAAGCATAAAGATGTATTTTTTTTAAATGATATCATATATTGAATTTTATTGTTAACTGATTAAATTTTATCAAATTTATCACTATTTTTCATGCTTTTGTAGGAGAACAACAAGTTGCAATGAAGATAAATGGACTTTTCTTAATGATTTGAATTCAACAACAAATGATTGTATCAAATCTATATCTCCAACCGTGAAAACAACAAACCAAAAAGAAAGAGAAAATTAATGTATAAATTATAAATTTGTAATGTATTGTTCAAATTTCTTAGATAATACAATAATTTATATTTAATATTTTCTTTTAGGTTACAACTTGAAGAAGATGAAGTAAAAAATGAAAAATAAAAGACAACAATAGAAGATTTAGAAAATTGAACCATTTTTATTGCAATATTGTATAAATACTTTTAATATTATGTAGAATTTGAAAAGTAAAATGTCATCAAATATTTAAATTTTTTATAAAATAATTTTTTTATCTTATTATATACATTTCTCTTACTTTATTATTATTATTATTATTATTATTATTATTATTGACTTTATTTTTAACATAAAATTTGCCTAGATTTTATATTTGACTCATAAACTTTATATTTATCAACTTCTATAATTTTAATTTATATAAAAATTAATATTTATATTAAATAAAATCATTCTTCTCTTTTAGTTTCTACTTAAATCTTAATTGAAAAAATTTTAACAACTATTTTTTTCTCTTCTTCTATTATTTTTATTTTTTTACAACTAATTTAATAGAAATTGATATATCATAATTATGTATAACTTATTAATGTAAAAAATATTTTATTTATATTTTATATTTAATAATTATGATGATAATAATTGATAAATTGTAATTAAGGAAAATTTATTAAAAATGATGGTTATATTATATTAAAAACAGCTATATTAATATTGTTGTGAATGACATGATACTTGATAAAAAATTATTAAATTTTTCAATTAAAAAATTTTAAAAATTTCATTGTGAAGTAAAATTATGACTAATGAACGAAAATAGTTAAATAATAAAATAAAACTATTAATTTCTTAAGTAACATTTTAATTGATATTAATTTAAATTATTTTATTAAATACTATATATACAATCTATATTTTAATTTGTACTTCAAATACTAAAATGTACTTTGAATTAAAAAAAACAAAACTACATTTACAAAGATAGTAATTTATATTACACGTTGTTAAATTAAATTTATGATGAATAGACAAATTTATATATTTAAATTATTTTATTAATTAGTTTAGAATAATCTATAGTTTGATATGTACTTTAAATTCTAAAATTTACTTTTGCACTAAAAAATTTACACTTACAAAATTATTAGTTTATATTATATATTGTTAAATTAAATTTCTAATAAAAAATAACTTTATAAATTAAAATACTATATATAAAATAAAATTAAAATTGTTAAAATAAGTTATAATATTTTGCATAATAAAAATAATTAATAGAAAAAAATATCTATAAATTTGTTGAGTTACCTTTTAATTAAAATAACATTATTTATTTACTTTAAGTTATGTTAAAATTTAAATGATATTAATTTAAATTATTTTAAAAATTAGTTTAATATAATTTATATTTTATTATGTACTTCAAACATTAAAATATACTTTGAATTAAAAAATTTACACTTTACAAAATTATTAGTTTAATATAATTTAAATCATGTATTCAATTTTATTTTTAACTAAATAATTTTATCAAATTCATTATTATTTTCTTTAATACATTACTAGTAATTATTTACTTTTATGTTTTTCACGCTTTTGTAGAGAATAACAAGTTCTAATAAAGATAAATAGATCAATGTTATGAAATACACTAAATGTATATAACAAAAAAGAGTTAATTAGTACTGATACAGTACTAATTAATAAAAATGTATTAGTATTTATATTTTTCTGATTAAAAATTTATTATTTTTAATAAATTATAATTGTGTTATTTTTATATATTGTTGTATAATAATTAACTAACTTAATTTATTTTTAAATTTTCTAATTGATTAATTTTTTTCTTTCTACAAAGTAATTACATACATGCTTCCATAGTATGAGGTATTTCTTACCTGTTCAAATGTATATTAAAGTAAGGAAAAATATTCTTCATAACAAATTTTTCAATGACAAAGAACAAAGATAAATTTGATGCTGTTAAAAACAATTCTTTCATTTTGTAATTCCATGCCACTAATTATTATTAAGGAATTAAATGATGATAACATAATTCTTTACTGTATCTTTGAGTTTGTGAACTTTGAAGATTTGAAAATTCGTTGTGAAAATAACATCTTAACAGGTATTTTGCTGTAAAATTTTACTAAAATTGTTATATAATTGTATTTAATTTATCAATTAGTTTCCTAAATTTATTTATTTTATGAATATACGTGATTAGAGTGGTCATGCACACAAGCTCTATTGAAGAAAAAATAACTACTTAAGGTAAGATAAAAGAATGAGGGAATTAATGTATAAATTATAAATTTGTAATATATTGTTCAAACTTCTTAGATCATACAATAATTTAGAAGATTATATTTTCTATTAGGTCGTAACTTGAGAAAAATAAAACAAAAAATAGTGAACAAAAAGCAACAATGAAAGATTTAGAAGATTGAACTATTTTTATTACAATATTATATAAATACTTTTAATATTGTGTAGAATTTGAAAAGTAAAAATGTCACCAAATATTTTTGTCTTTTATAAAATAATTTTATCTTATTATATATATATATATATATATATATATCTTATTTTATTATTATATATATTATGTATTGAGTTTGTTCTTAACATAAAACTTGTTTAAATTTTATATTATATCAACATCTGTAATTCTAATTGATATAAAAATTATTTTTTATATTAAATAAAATCATTATTATCTTTTAGTTTCTATCCAAATCTTAATTAATTTTTTTTAACTAATCTTTTTTCCTCTACTTCTATTATTTTAATTTTTTTTAAAAATAATTTAATAGAAATTAATTTATCATAATCATGTTTAACCTATTAATGTAGATGATATTTTATTTATATTTTATATTATAATAATTATGATGACAAATTTAATTTTTTAAATTAAAAAAATAACAATATTTTTACTTAATAATTTTTTTGCAATTTTTTTTTTATAAAATGTTATAATGATGATGATAAATTCAAAAATTTCAAATTAAAACTAATTAATTATAATAATTGAAATAAATTACATATTATTAAATATCATAACAATGAAAATGAGTATGATTTAATATTAAAAACTTTAAATAACTCTTGGTTTTGTATATTTAATAATTTTATATTGTAATGAACGAATATGTAAAGAAAATATAACGTTTTAACTCTAAATTAAGTTTAAATTTTAGATTTAATTTCTATATATATATATATCATTTGTTTCAAAAGTTAACAAGCATTTTCTTTTACGTACTTCTAAAATTTGATGAGTATGAAGTTTAAATCTTTACAATTACCAAAAGACTCACAATCTAAGAAAGATTGAGATTAATGTTTAAAATATTATAAAAATATTCTTTATATTAACATATCAAATTATATTTATTTATTAGAATTATATATTCTCAGTATATGATTATTTAAAATTTTTAAATTGAAATACAAGTTCTAATATTTTTAAAAATTTTACTGAGAGTATTCAATTACAAACACATAGAACTATATTTTCTAATGAAAAAATTTATTCATTTTGTGGACTTAAAGTTAGTCACCAGGATGTAAATCAAAATACAGGTATTATACATAAAAATTATTAATTCAATACAAATATTTTTTATTAATATATGTTTCTTATGTTATATTCTTAAAATTATAAATTTTTTAATTTTAAAAATATTTAAATCAAATTCACTAAATATTAACTTTTTGTTTTTCTAAGAGTATGTGATATATCAAATATTAGACTATAGAGATAGAAATAAGGACATCACACAAAAATTATATCTGAAAGCAATTATCAAATCTCAAATACACCGGATCTGCGTCAAAATTATTAAAACACATCTATTTTTTTAATGACGGTATAATATTTTAATGTATATATATTAAATTTATATTTATATTTTTAAAATAATTACAGATCTAATTAATATTTTAATGACAGTATAATATATATTTAAATTAAAATTTTATTTAGTTATTTATTAGTCTTTTGTAAGATGCAACATATTATTAAATCTATTATTATCTTAATAAATATTATCTTAATTTTATTAATTCTATTATTATTACATTAACAAATAATTATTTAAAATTATTTCATATTTTAAAATTAATTTACTTCTTTATTTTAATTAGAGAATAATTATACAAATTTATTCATGTATGTATTGGTATTAATATTATAAATTGTGATAATATTTACTTATTTATTTATTAATATAATTCAATTATACACGTATAGAGTTTATCATAACTACTCTTATAATTAATATTTTATCATACAAATTATAAATTAAAATTATGTTTACTTATTTATTAATAATTTTTTAAAATTGTTGGTGATAAATCAAATCAAATCATTAAATAAGAGCTTATGTATCCTGTAAAATTATTGGATATTTTAAATTTTAATGAATTTACTCTCCATTGATTGTAACTCAAAGAAGGAATGCCAATTATGCTACTTCGAAATATTAATCCGACATTAAAAATATGCAATAGAACAAGACTCCTTATTAAGGACAATCATGAAATTATGTTGAATTATATTTGTCAAAACCTGTATTTAATCATAATCAATTATATGTTGCATTATTTAAAATAATGTCAATAAAAGAAATAAAAATATTTATTATTAAAGAAGATAAATAAATATATAAATACAAAAAATATTGTATAAAAAAATATTTCATAATCTTTCTTACTGTAATTATATTTAATATAATAAATTTTTTTTACCATATTAATATATTTTTATATTTAAATTATATATTTTATATTTTAAAATAAATTAATTTAATAAAAATAAAACAAATCCGTGCAACACACTGATATATTTACTAGTATAATATTATTACTTTGTATCCAACATTTATGATTTTTTTACATAACATTTTTACTATTATGAAGCATTTAAAGCAACATTTCATAATAAATAAATGCTAATAATAAATTACAACTCTTCATAAAAAAAATACATATTACAACTGGGCGTCACAAAATAGTAAATAAATGCTCAAATTAGTTTGAATTTATAAGGGAAAAAAGACAAAGGAAAGTAAGGGAACGTTATATGGAAAGAATGGAATCCTACGTCATTTGCCACTTGTTGTGCATGCAAACACAAAGGGACGAAAAACAACTCAGAAAACGTCACTGTTCACACCATATTCACTTAGAAGCCAGCTTTGATTTCCGTTTCTTTACAAAACTTTCTTTGCTGTTGTTTATCTTTTTCTTCTTCTTTCACACCATTTCTTAAAATGCCAAAAAGATGCTTATTGAATAAAGTGCATAGTTATAACTCAAAGAACATCAAAAAGCAATGTTCTAAGTGATGATAATGTGGAGGCGTTAACTCCAAGAGAGCCATTAGCACTATAAATTATGACCAAAGCAAATGGCCATAGTCACATATTGAAACTTTAGATTCACTGCTGAGAGAGAAAGCAAAGCTCAATTCAGCACTCCAATGGCTACCCTTATTGCTTATAACCAATCTTCTCCCGTTCAAGATGCTGAGGCTCTTCGACAGGCTTTCAAAGGTTCTACACATTTATGCAATTTAAATTTATCTGCTTTATATTTTATACTTTTCAGATAATATTGTACAACCTTGAACATGTTTTTAATTTTCGTGAATACCACAAAATTTATTTATTTTTTTATTGATTTTGATCTTCAACATTTTTATTTTTTAAACATAGTTACTGTTCTTATTCTATGAAAACGTGACATTTATTTAGCTATAATTATTTTGAAGTGGCAAGTGATATATGCATGTCAAGTTATTAACAAGTGATAATGACATTGTTTTTAAAATTGATAAAATTTGTTTTGAAAGATAAAATTAAATTTAATCATGTTATAAGAATTAAAAATATATTTAATCTTATTCTTAATTATTTTATAATTAATCTCAAAATTTGATTATAGACTTATCTTATACCTGCTGCATCATGTGATCAATTAATTGATTTTCGTGCTCCTTCTTAAGGAAATTTTTTTCATTTGTATTACATTGTTCTGGAAATATAATAACTGAACCATTTTCCACATTCTTGATATATTAAAAAATAATTTTAAATATTTTTTTAAAAAAAAATTAATTATTAAAAAAATTAAATACTTTATACTTTAAAAATAATAAATATATATTTTATTTAATAAATATTTTATAAAGTAAAAATTATATAAGGAAATATATAAAAAGGTATAGCAAAAGTTTTCCTCTTTTTTCGGGTCACGCTACAGCAAAACTCTATTCGGAACTATGTAGCACTGGCCCATTCTAATTGATATTTATGAATACTTAAACAAAATCTTTCTTTTTAAGCGAATTTCTTTAAAATGTGTACTTGTTATTGTTCCAAATTATATATTAATTTTAAAATATTATTTCATCATCTATTATTTTGAAAAAAATATTTTAAGTTTTTACTTTTTAGTATTTCTATTGAATAAAATAAAATAATAAAGGTATAATTTAACAAAATAAATTATATATTTTAAAAAAAATAAAAACATTTAATATCTTTTCTAATACTTGTACAAAAATTTCACAGGACTGATATTTCAAGACACAAATTGATCTTGACTAATTGTTGACATTAAAACATAAAAGTAGTAATATTTTTAAAAAAAAATAAAATATATATATATATATATATATATAATAAGGACACATTTTTAAATGTATTAATTTTTAAATTTTTTATTTTTAATATTATATTAAAGTTATAAAAGTATGAAAAATATTTTTAAATTTTTTTATTATTAAATATTTAAATTTAATCTTACAACTGATATTGATACTATTTATTTATTTATTGTACCGTGATTATGCACTGTCAGATCGGAAATGTAAATGTGTCTGAAATATATTCTGTTCCCATTAAGTGAAAATATAAATGATATGGTTATTTAATACCTGTCCAAAAAATTCCAAGACAACTTATGTTTCCGAGACATTGGTATTCTTCATTACTCGTCGAATAATGCAAGAACAGATTTTTCAATTTTCAACTGACAAAAGCCCCAAACATTGCAGTGTGAACAAAATCTTTGTGCTTGACATTGTTGGGGTGGTTGATTGCCACTTCCAAGAGTTCATTTTTGCTTTTATTTAAACATTTTTGTTTAAAATAATCTTCTTATTAATTTGATTACGACAGAAAAAATATTTTATGCAAAAATAATTTAAATAAAAGGGACAATAAATATTTAGAAGTAGCAAAAAGACTATAGATTATTGTTTAAATAGAAATAGAATTGATAACGAAGCACCGTATTCAACTATGGCTACCCTTGTTGCTCTCAGGCACCATTCCCCAGTTGAGGATGCTCAAGTCCTCAGAGATGCTTTCAAAGGTTATATATATTATTTCACTAACCATTTCTTAAAAAAACAGTTTCAATTTATTTAACTGGGTTTTATGAATTTACTTTTGTTTTTTCCTTCTCTATCTTGAATATCCATTAACAAGGCCAGTCATAATTTATGAGCTCTAGTAATTTTAATGTATATTAATGTTGTGTTCTTATGACAATTGATGAGTGTGATGCATGATGTGTTGTACAAAGTAAATAAAATGTGCTTTAATTTTGCAGGTTGGGGGGCTGATAACAAGGCCATTATAGCAATACTGGGTCACAGAAATGTTCATCAGAGACAGGAAATAAGAAAAGCTTATGAGGAGATTTACCAAGAGGATCTCATCAAACGCCTGGAGTCTGAGATCTCTGGTGACTTTGAGGTACCAATTATTTTATTTCACACAGTAAATGGACAATATATCTTGATTATTTAGAATAATTACTTTTTTAACCTGTGCTAAGTTGCAGAAAATAAAAGTTTATATACAGTGAATTTTTATTAAAAATTATAACATTTAACAGTATCAATGCATTAAATTATATTAAATTCTATCATTTTTAATACAAATTTACTATATATAACTTGTTATATGTGCATGCATACAAATCAGAGAGCTGTTTACCGGTGGATGTTGGAGGCAGCAGAGCGTGATGCTGTTTTGGTGAATGTAGCAATAAGGAATGGCAACAGAGACTATCATGTGGTTGCAGAAATTGCTTGTGTCTTATCAGCTGAAGAGCTCTTCGCTGTTAGGCGTGCCTATCACAACCGCTACAAACGTTCCATGGAAGAAGATGTAGCTGCGAACACCACTGGCCAGCTTCGCCAGGCAAGTCTTTTTTATACAATGCATTTTTCCGTAAGTATAAGTACAACCAATTACAAGTTAACCATAGTGTTTATTATTATTTTATTTGAGAATTAGGTGAAATAAGGATATAATTGAAATCAGTGATTAGGATTATGTAAAACTTTTATTGAATAGATAAATGAAAACATGTTTTGTTTCAGAAGTGGATATGTTAGAAGAAACCGAAGGTAATAATAAAACCTGTTTTAAATTCATGCTGATGTTATTTTAATGGTTTGATTAGTTATATATAGACAGACACTATGATCATGTAGGAATTTGTCTTTTTATAGTGAGGGAATGAAGTCTATTAATGATGAGAAATTTGAGGAGTACTAATGGTGTGAGTTTGTGCTTGATTTTGAGCAGCTTTTGGTGGGATTGGTGAGCGCATTTAGGTATGAGGGTAATGAGATCAATGCAAAATTGGCTCAAACTGAAGCTAATATTCTTCATGAAGCTGTAAGGGAGAAAAAGGACAACTTTGAAGAGGTCATCAGGATCCTTACCACAAGAAGCAAGACTCAACTTGTGGCAACTTTCAACCGCTACAGAGATGAACATGGCATTTCCATCAGTAAGGTACCAAAGGAAGAGCTTTATTTTCAGTCCTTACAGTTTTTAAAAGTTTGGTTTTGGTCCCCTATTACAAGCAATCATTTGAATCCATGTCTAGTGACTGAATATGTATTTAAGTTGAATAATTATTCACTACCCGGTTGATCCAAAGTAATTAAAAATGTTTTTTTATTAACTGTTTTTGAATTATGTATACCCAACATCTCTACAGAAATTGTTGGATCATGCATCAGATGACTTCCACAAGGTGTTGCACACTGCCATTCGTTGCATCAATGACCATAAGAAGTACTATGAAAAGGTCAGGTTCTCTCACTTTCTTTCTGCAAGTTAGAAACAATATTTCTAGAAAAGACTAATGTTATTTGCATGCTAGAAATCATAACTTTCTAGAAAAGTACTATGAAAGCACCTGAATTTAATTGAGTTAGCCTAAACTTTAAATAAATGCATCACATATGCTAACTTTCACATCATGAATAATCAAATCCATCTTATTCTTCTATTGAAATTTGAACTAGAAACTAAAATTGAGTGTGTGTTTAACAATTTGATAAAATGTCCTCAATGAGACAATCATTAACATTTCTTATACAATGGTGCACCCTGAAATTATGTATATAGGTTCTGCGCAATGCACTAAAAAAGTTTGGAACTGATGAGGATGGAGTAAGCCGTGTGGTCGTTACAAGGGCTGAGAAGGATCTGAAGGACATCAAAGAGCTGTACTACAAGAGAAACAGTGTTCACCTTGAGGATGCAGTGTCCAAGGATACCTCAGGGGATTACAAGAAGTTCATCCTCACTCTGCTGGGGAAACAAGACTGAGGGCATAGTGGCATACCCAGTAATGGGTTTTGGTTATGTTGCTTTTTCTGTCATTTCATTTTGGTTAATTTCCCTTTAAGAGTCTGTTTATGAGAGTTGTGTCTCTAGTATCCTTTTTCTATGTGACAACTTGGAACTTCTATCCTATTTGAGGGGATTTATGCAGTTTTGTTTGGTTTATGTTGGTACTTGATGTGCTCTTATTTGAGGGTGCTGTTTCCTTTGGGTTATGCTGCTACTTGGTAATGGTATGCTTTTAATGGAAGATTTATTATCTAAGCTTATATTGACTTTTTGAGTGATTTGTTAGACTCTCATCATATCTCATTTAGTATTAATGTACGCGTCTTTTTTAAAAAAAAAATTAATTAGTTGATTAATTATTATAGTAAGATAAATTATTTTGATTAAAATATCTCTTTTAAAAGTTTTGAAGTGAGATGTTTTAATTTTTTTATTAAATGATATTTTGATTAATTAAAATATCTCTTTTAAATTAAATGATATTTGTGTTAGATTATTAAGTCTCATGAACATATAAGAAAGATAAAATTAATGTTTTTTGTTATTAAGTAGATTTTGATTTTATCCTCAATTTATTATTTTAAAAATAATTTAAATAAATTTCTGTTGTTAAAAAAAATTCCCCAGATGTTCGTTTTCTTCTTCTGCAATTCCAATCCTTAAAGTTTATCCCTATCAAATTTTACCACTATCCAAAGTAATTATAAATTTCATTTTTAAGCATCTATATAAGAGATATTTTGTTTGAAGCCATAAAATATAAATCTAAATAAGTTTATAAATATTTGTGTCGACCTCAACAACTTATATGCAGTCTTTAATTAAAATTAACATAATTTAATTTTTTAATTATAAGTTATTATATTAATAACACTAAATACTATAATTTTAATAAAAATATAATGTGCAATGAATACATGTTAAATTTTTTTAATGAATATGATAATAGAGCTTGACTTTATACAGTGATAAACTTGAAATATTATAATTAATTTTAAAAATTAACATATTAATTACGTTCAACCATATATCAAAATGAACTAAATTGGCCAATTCTATTGGTAGGATCACAACTGATCAGGTAACTTAAACCTTAGAAAGCCAATGAAAGGTATATAGGGAGAGTACTATGTAACGTTAGAGAAGATGTCTTCAAATGCTTTTTTTGTAAAACTAATACATATGAAAAGATAAAAATTGATTTTCTAAATCAGTTGTACAATTGATTTAAAAAAATATCTTTAACATCTATTATTTATATACCTCTGATTTAATAGAAGTACTTATAAATTTTAAAAAATGTTACTGAATTTCTTATTTAATATCAGTTTGCTCATAATCAATTTAAAAAAATACTTTTAACTTCTGAAACCAATCTAATAAGCCCTTTTCTTAAAAATGTTGCCACTGTTTTTTTAAACTAGTTTTTCTATAATGATGTAAAATCTTATTATAAAATGTCTATTTTATAACCAGTGCTGTAAGAGCCATGTGTCGATATTTGAGGATGGAAAATGTGAAAATGGATATGTCTAACATATTTGCAATATTTAGAGGAATTAAACTCTTTTTAAATTAAGAGAAATTGTATAAAAATTAAATTAATAAATTTTACATAAATAATAGTGATATCTACTATAACTATTTTATATTTTAACTCACATAATGTGATACTTTTATATATTTTATTAGTATATGAGATTATTAATATCATATTAGTGTAATAATTTTTTTTTCAGAATAGCAATATATATACTGTTGTACTGTGAAACTATTATTTTATTATTTGGATGAGAAGTAAAATAAAAGAGATTTTTAATAAAGAAATATTAGAGCAATTAAAAAAAAGCAAAAGTATATAGTTTGACTGAAAAATAAAAAAAGTAAATGATATTTTTATTTAAATGAGTAAAAGAGTAAAAAAAAAATTATATAAAAAATATTTTTATACTAAGTAAAAAGAAATTAACTCAAAATTAAACTTTAAAGATATTATTTTTAACATACTTTTTTTTTATTTTTAATTGTAAAAGTTGTTTAATCTTTAGAAAACTAAAAGAATGTTTTCTTCCACTTTTTGATTATTTAATTTTTATATTGTAAAAACATATTGTGCGTTTCTAATTTGACTCCTGGTAAAGAGAATTCTTGAAGTTGATAAATTAAACGATACATATTTATTATTTTTTGAATGGATGTGGTATGTGTTAGTGAAAATATGTGATTTGGATAGAAATTTAGAGGTGTTTCATGACTTATTTAAATATATGATAAGTAATAAATGGTGAAAAATGTACTATCAGCAATATGATTGAGATTAGTGTGGAAAGTTATAAAGATACACTAAAATTATGGAAGATGAAGTTGAAAATCTTAAAAAAATACAAGGTAGTGAATACTATTTGTAATTATGCGAAATGTAATAAAAGTTAAAGTATCACAAACCACACACTTATTTCTCGACCAACACTTCTGACTGTACTTTTTGTAACATCCTTACTATAATTTAAATAATTTCTCTTGAATATATATATATATATATATATATGGATGTACAATGTGTGTATATATATATAGTCTTTGATACAAGCAAACTATTTTTCAGGAAAATAAAATTCTAACTAACATTGGATATAAATTAAAATTTAAATAATTAATTGTTAAATGTTGCGCATAAACTTTGCATTATTATTTATAATAGGTTTATTAAAATACTTCAAGTTCTAATTGGAAACTTAATCAATATAATCACATTCCTCAAAATAAACAGTTCTTACAGTCCTATGCGAGTATTATCCTAGAACAGATTCATCTTTGTTTACTTCTTCTTTACCTGAAATTGTTTGTAAGGGTAAGTTTTTTTTGCCCATTAAATTCTCATTTTATAAAATAGTTGAAATATAAAAAATAATAATTTCTAATACATCATGCATCACATTAGAATTTATTTATAAAACCATTCTAATTAGATAGAGAACATTTACATACACCATTTATCACTCAATAAAATACTACAATTCATGTCTCCTTTATTCAATCTAAGTAGTTTCTTACTCAATTAACATCATCCTTCAATATCTGAGCTCATGCCACTCTAATCATTTCAGTTTTAAAATATTCACCAAATAAGAGTACTCTAGGTACTCATAGGCCCCTAAATCACTGTTAACACACTCTTCCTAATTATAATGAACTTACGCCAGCATGGATAATCGCCACTAGCCACTACACATGGATATAATGTGTTTTTTATTTGACTTTTATGGCAAAGGTATAGTAAAAAAATAAGCATGAGAACTTATGAATGCTTTTGCTACCAATTGTGTATACATAAGCTATTAGTATTCATCACCCTCATTTCTCCCATATTTTTCAAATCGCCCGACTCTATACTTCCAGTGTATCGCTGAATTATCCATACAGTAACTCAACACTGGGACACCAAAATCATATTGTTTTCACCAATCAATATTGTCCTAATACATGTGTTACAATTATACTAATCAATGTATTACAACATATATATTATAATCTTACTCGTCGATATATTACAACACATATGTCATAATCGCATCAATCACTGTTTTTATGACACATATATCAGTTACACTATTTTCTTTTTCTTACACTTTCTCAATATTTTTCTCATGACACAAATTTATCCACATTTCAACATACACAATTTATCACTATTTCTCTTTCCACTTTTATCACATAAACAACTTAAATTTACATGTATGCCTATTTACATCAGCCTATGTTTGTAAATTTTCACAAATAGTTTTTTTTTTTATCATTTGAAGGCAGTCAAGCACTTTTTATCAATAATAACATGAATTCATCAATCAATATGCATAAACTTATCCAACACAATCTCTATTCATTGTCATATATCATTCTAAATCAATCAATCATATATCCTCAACTTTTCATGACAATTCAAATAGTGGACAAGAGAAAAGCAATAAAAGGCCCAGCCTTGTTGTAGCTTCAAGCCACTCAAGCAGAGAGAAAGCCCTTGTTCAAGCTTAGAACAAAGACTAATGGAAAAGGTGATGGATCTCTGTAGCTAAACAATCGTCAGGTTCTCATATATATAATGGGCTAGCATCCAATTTAATACAATGAAAAAGAGGAAGAAGCGGATTGAGATTTGGAAGATCAACTACGAGCTCTATTGATTGTCCAATCCACTGGGCAAAGACATACCCGACATACTCAGACTAAGATGTTCAGCATATCCGAATTATTATCTATAGTGAAGGATTCTTCGATTCCTGAATCTGAAACTCTTGTCATTGAATCTGTCAGATAGGAATCGAGTCATTCTTGATCACTAGTTCTCTCTTGATCTTTGAGCACAATTTGGTAAAACAAAGAAATATATCATCACACAATTTAATACAATGCGCTGAAAGTCGGATACTTTCAAACTCAAACGAATCATGCGATTTAGAAACATCTTGCCGAAGATTACACTCTCTTAGTCTTAGATAAGTCTTCTATTCTTAAGTTCAACAATTCTACCTTTTTCATCATTTAATATATGCATTGATTAAAAATACTAATTTACAACATTAACAGTACATATATATACAGGGAGTGACTTGCCACAAAAAGTAATAAAAAACTCTTGGCACAAAAATCCAGATTATAAGTTGCCTCTGAAAAAGATGAACCCCAAAGTTATCCAAGCCTAAATCCACTAGAAGACATACATGATTTAGGACATAGATGATTTAGGAGATGAAAATGAAGATAATTGTTATGAAATTTACTTTCTGTTTCACCGGAAGTAAAACAATAGTGTCAACAAGACAAAACAAAAAAAGAAAAAACATCTTCGTACAAAAATAAGTCTGAAAAAGGAGATGGCAAAATAAGCATGACAAACAAGATTTGACCTCAAAATAGTGTTAGCAAGGATAAAAAGATAAGAAAGAGTCTCTCTACAAAGAAAATCTTTCTCTATAAAA